AAATAAAAAGGAACATATGAATTTTTTGGTGTAAAAAAGAAACACTTTTTGATGTATGTGAATTAGGAACTCAGTGTTTGCACACATTACATTTTGTCTACACTAATGAAGGTTATATCAGAAAGTATTATTTTAGAAAATCATTTTCTAGAATATTCTAGTAGTCTACACTAGAGGCCTGGTGCATGAAATACGTGCATGTGTAGGGTCCCTAGGCCTGGCCTCTCACCTCCCCACCTCCTTCCCTCCCTCCATTAGCACCCCGCCACCACCTGTGCTCTCCCGCCTTGTTCTGGACCGGCCCCTGGTGGTCAGTACACATCATAGGGAGTGATGGAACACCTGCACTCCCTGTTGTACTCCCAAGAGGACAATTTGTATATTACCCTTTTATATATATACACTAGGGGCCCGGTGCACGAAATTCGTGCACTGGGTGGGAGGGGGGGTGGGGAGTGTCCCTCAGTCCAGCCTGCCCCCTCTCACATACTGGGAGCCCTCAGGCGTTGACCCCCATCACCCTCCAATCGCAGGATCGGCCTCTTGCCCAGGCCTGACGCCTCTGCCAGAGGTGTCAGGCCTGGGCAGGGGACCCTCATTTCCCTCCATCACTGGTTCTGCCCCCAGCCCAGGCCTGATGCCTCTGGCCCAGGAGTCAGGCCTGGGCAGGGGACCCCCAGACCCCTCCGATTGCTGGCTCTGCCCTTGCCCAGGCCTGATGCCTCGGCCAGAGGCGTAGACCCCCATCACCCTCCGATCGCCTGATCGGCCCCTTGCCCAGGCCTGACGCCTCCGCCAGAGGTGTCAGGCTTGGACAGGGGACCCCTATCTCCCCCCGATCACTGGCTCTGACCCCCGCCCAGGCCTGAGGCCTCTGGCCCAGGAATCATGCCTGGGCAGGGGACCCCCATCTCCCTCTGATCGCTTGCTCCCCCCCCCCGCCCAAGCCTGACGCCTCTGGCCCAGGCTTCAGGCCTGGGCAAGGGGACCATCATATCCCCCCAATCCCCGGCTCCGCCCCCCACCCAGGCCTGATGCCTCTGGCCCAGGCATCAGGCCTGGGCAGGGGACCCCCAGCCCCCCGCCCAGGCCTGATGCCTCGGCCAGAGGAGTTGACCCTCATCACCCTCCGATCACCAATCACCGGATCGGCCCCTTGACCAGGCCTGAGGCCTCCGGCAGAGGTGTCAGGCCTGGGCAGGGGACCCCCAGCTCCCCGCGGTTGCAGGCTCCGCCCCTGCCCAGGCCTAACGCCTCTGGCCTAGGCGTCCGGCCCGGGCAGCGGGGACCTGCAGTGGCAGCGGGGGTGCCGCGATCGCGTGGGCTCCGCCTCTGCCCCTGCAGGACGCCTCTGGCTGAGGCGTCCGGCCCGGGCAGCGGGGACCCGCAGCTGCAGCAGCCCCGCGATTGTGGGCTCCGCTTTAGGCCCAGGCAAGGGACCCCTAGCTCCTGGGACTGCCAGTTTCGACCATGCCCAGCTCCCATTGCTGGCTCCACCGCTACTTCCTGCTATCACTGGCCAGGGCGGCAAAGGCGCCTGATTCTCCAATCATGGCTGGGGGGCAGGGCAAAGGCGGCCCTGCCCTGCCCCCCAGCTCTTAGCTCCCCCCTGGGTTTCCGATCACTGTCAGTGGCAGGAGGCTTCTTCCTGCTTTCCCTTTCGCCTCCCTGCATTGTGCCTACATATGCAAATTAACCGCCATCTTGTTGGCAGTTAACTGCCAATCTTAGTTGGCAGTTAACTTGCATATAGCCCTGATTAGCCAATGAAAAGGGTAGCGTCGTACGCCAATTACCATTTTTTTCTTTTATTAGTGTAGATACTAATTGCCTGGTGCACAAAATTTGTGCAGGGGAGTGTGTTCCTCAGCCTGGCTTGCAAACTCTCCAATCTGGGACCCCTCGGACATCCCTCTCGCAATCTGGGACCACTGGCTCCTAACTGATCACCTGCCTGCTTGCCTGATCGCCCCTAACCACTCTGCCTCCCGGCCTGCTTGGCCCCAACTGCCCCACCCCCGCCACCCTGATCGCCACCAACTGCCCCCCCCTGCTTGCCTGCTTACTGCCATCTCCCCCCCTCTGGCCTGATCATTCCCAACTACCCCCCAGCCAACCTGCTCTCCCCCAAATGCACCCCGTGCTGGCCTGATCGCCCCCAACTGCCCACCCCGCCAGCCTGCTTGCCCCCAACTGCCCCCCCTGCCTGCCTTCTCGCCCCAACTGCCTCTCTTGCCTGCCTTCTCGTCCCAACTGCCCCCCACTGCTGGCCTGCTCGCCCCCAACTGCTCCCCCATCAGCCTGCTCATCCCCAACTGCCCCCCAATGCCGGCCTGCTCGCCCCCAACTGCTCCCCCTGTCAGCCTGCTCATCCCCAACTGTCCCGTCTTCTGGCCTGCTCACCCCCAACTGCTCTCCCCACCTGGCCTGATTGCTCCTAACTGCTTCTGCCTCAACCCCACCACCATGGCTTTGTCCAGAAGGTCTCCCAGTCTGATGAGCATATTATCCTTTTATTGGTATAGACTAGTGGCCCAGTGCACCAAATTCCTCACCCTGGCCTGCACCCTCTCCACTCTGGGACTCCTTAGGGCATGCCTGACTGCTTGCCCCCAATTGGCTCCTGTTGTTTTTTTGTTTGTTTTTTAATATATTTTATTGATTTTTTTACAGAGAGGAAGGGAGAGGGAAAGAAAGAAACATTGATGAGAGAGAAGCATCAATCAGCTCCCTCCACACCCCCCACTGGGGATGTGCCTGCAACTGAGGTACATGGCCTTGACTGGAATCGAACCTGGGACCCTTCAGTCCCCAGGCTGACGCTCTATCCAGTGAGCCAAACCGGTGGGGCTGTATATTATTCTTTATTTCAGTCAGTGTATGCTTAATTTCTAGTTGGTCTTTTTTCATATCTTCTAGGGTCTCACTAAATTAATCGGCGGTTTCTAGAAAATTCTTGAAAAACCTTATAACCATGGTTTTGAACTCTATATCCAGTCTTTTGCTTTCCCACATTTCTGTCATTTGTGACCTGTTTCTTTGTCTCCGCATTTTTTATGCTTCCCTGTGTTGCTAGGTGTCCTACAGGGCCCTATCATTGTTTCTTTATAGCAGCCACTGTAGGGCACTCATTGTGTACTACTCTTCTATTCGCACTCTGTGGCATGCACAGTAGACACATGTTCTTGAAGATGCTTCAAAACAGCGAGATCATTGAACACACACTTCCCTCATTTCTATCTCCAGCAAGGAAACTGGGAATTGGAAGTGTTGTTATAATATTGCCATTGTGTGACAGGGGGTTTGAGCAGGTATCATTGGCAGATGTAAGCAAATCTTTGCCCCTATTTGTGTGACTTTTCTTTCCTGTACCTATCTTGAGCTTTCTTTGAATTCTTCATTGGCTCTTAGAGTACTCCAAAATGTCATTTGGTCAATACTTGCTGTGCACTTACCTGATTGTCAAAACTGAAAATTTGTTTTCTTTCAGCTATACCATCGAAAGATAACCAAGCCTTTATGCCAAAGCCCGGAATACAGGATTTATTCCCCGAAATAATACTGGTAAGATATAAAAGGTGTCGCTAATATAAACAGAACTAATCTGGAACAATTATAATAAATTTTTTGTTACCTAACCATGTCAGGTGTACTTTCAATTTGGGAAATCTCCCTTATTAAAGTCAGTTACATTGGCAGATAAGGTTGTTTCCGCAAGTGAAGTTTGAAAACAACTTTTTACTGTTACCCAATTTTGGAAAGGAAATCTAGAAATACTACTAACTCATGGAGTCTCTAGAGCAAATAAACATTTGAATTGTTTTAAAGGTAGGATGGGATTAAACTTTCATTCAATCATTTCTAAAATGCATAAATTTATAACGTATCTATTTTATAAAATGTGCTCAATTTGGCAGTCTTCTACGATTTTTTTAATGAAAAATGTGTTTCTATTGATTTCAGAGAGTAAGGAACAGGAAGAGAGAGAGGAAAACATCACTGATGAGAGAAAATCATTCATTGGCTGCCTCCTATATGCCTCCCATTAGGGACTGATCCCCAAGCTGGGCCATGTGCCCATACTGGGAATGGAACCAGGATCTTCTTGTTTATACTTCTAAGCTCAAGCACTGAGCCATGCTGGCTGGGCATTTGGCAATCTTTGAAACAAGGATTCATTCTTCTTTCTCTAATAATTAAGGTGTTGTATTTATATTTTGTCTATCATCCTATATAATAGAAGCCTAACATACTAAGTGGTTGTCCAGTCATCTGTTCAACCAATCAAAGCATAATATGCTAATAATATTTAAGGCCACTCACCTGCTCACTATGATATGCATTCACTACCAGGGGGTAGACGCTCCAACCAGTAGGTTAGCTTGCTGCTGGGGTCTGGTTGATCAGGACGGAGCAACATGGGCTGGACAGGCCCTGGGGCCTTCCCACAGTCCCTCCCTGGCTGGCCAACCTCACGCATCCCTCCCTGCCCCCAATCATGCACCATTGGGATCCCTCTGCCAGGTGTGCACAATCTCACAATCCGTGACACCTCGGGATTTCAGAGAGTTTGTTTCAGCCCGATCCTGCAAAACATGGGAGCTTCTCCCTGGTGGTCAGTGCACTCCCACAGGGGTAGCATTGCTCAGCCAGAAGCCGGGCTCACAGCTGGTGAGTGCATCGGTGGTGGCAGGAGCTTCTCCCACCTCCGTGGTTACACTAAGGATGTCCAACTGTTGGCTTAGGCCCGCTCCCTTGGAGGAGCAGGCCTACGTCTACAGTAGGACATCTCCTGAGGGCTCCCAGACTGCAGGAGTGTTCAGACTGGGCTGAGGGATCCCCCCTGAGTGCATGATTTTTATGTACTAGGCCTCCAGTTTTAATATATTAGGAAAGCTTTAATGAGTATCACAAAATGGTTCTTATGGATCTAGTTTACATGTTTAATGTGATTGTAACTCACTAAAGGTCTTTCTGTCTCCCATTATCGCCAGAGTACTCAAAATGGAGATAGCAGTTATCAGTGGATTGAACATTGGAACAAATTTAAGGCAGAGTCATACCTTAATCAGCGGACAAGTGAGTTTACAGATGACCATCATAAAAGTGGAAATGTTTTTGACAAAATGTATACGTCACACCACAGTATACGTCAGGTTATTCCTATTGTGGAGAAGACACACCAAGGAAGTCATGTCCACTCTTTTCAGCAGTCTTCAAATTACAGTGGACAAGAGACTATTAATCCTGGGGAGGAAGCTTACAAATGGAATCCTTGTGGTAGAATCTCCAGACAAATATACAATATGAATGGACAGGAAAAAAACTATAGTGGAGAAAAACCTTATAACTGTAAAGATTCTGGTAAAGCATCTAATTGGCCTGCAGGTTGTACTCTAAAAAAGAGAATTCGTACTAGAGAGAAGCCTTACAAATGTAAAGCATGTGGCAAAGCCTTTAAATGTCATTCATCTCTTATTGTACATAAGGGAAGTATTCATGCTATTACAAAATTTTACAAACTCAGGGAAAATGGAAAAGGCTTTAGTCAGTCCTCAAGATGTAGACAACATCATAGAAATCATGGGGATGAAAAGACGTATAACTGTTCACAATGTGGCAAAGCCTTTAGCCTACCCTCCACCCTTGTTCTTCATCAGAGAATGCACACTGGAGGGAAACCTTATAAATGTAGAGAATGTGGTAAAGCATTCCTCCAAGCCTCAAACATGATTCGACATCAGAAAGTTCATACTAGAGAGAAACCTTACAAATGTAGCGAATGTTTCAAAGCCTTTAGTGAGTCCTCCAACCTTAATCGTCATCAGCGTATTCATACTGGAGAGAAGCCTTACAAATGTACAGAATGTGGCAAAGCATTCATTGAGTCAGCAAAGCTTAAACGACATCAAACAATTCATACTGGAGAGAAGCCTTATAAATGTACAGAATGTGACAAAGCCTTTAGGCGTTCCTCAAGTCTTAGAATTCATCAGAGATATCACACTGGAGAGAAACCTTATGAATGTAGAGAATGTGGCAAATCCTTTATCAGCCATGAAGGTCTTACTAATCATCAAGGTGTTCATAATGAAGATAAGCTTTTTAAATGTAGAGAATGTGGTAGAGCATTCCTCCTTGCCTCAAACATGATTCGACATCAGAAAGTTCATACTGGAGAGAAACCTTACAAATGTAGAGAATGCGGCAAAGCCTTCAGTGATTCCTCCTCCCTTAATAGACATCAGACAGTTCATACTGGTGAGAAGCTTTACAAATGTAGAGATTGTGGCAAAGCCTTTGGGCACTCCTCATCCCTTCGTTATCATCAGAGAGTTCATACTGGAGAGAGGCCTTACAAATGTAGAGAATGCGGCAAAGCCTTCAAGAAATCCCAAACTCTTACTGACCATCAGAAAACTCATACTGGAGAGAAGCCTCATGAATGTAGAGAATGTGGCAAAACCTTTAGACAGGCCTCAACCCTTACTGAACATCAGAGAATTCATACTGGAGAGAAACCTTATAAATGTACAGAATGTGACAAAGCCTTTAGACAGTCCTCAAAACTTACTTTGCACCAGAGAGTTCATAGTGGAGAGAAGCTGTATAAATGTAGAGAATGTGGCGAGGGATTTAGCTCGGCACAATCTCTTAATTGTCATCAGAGTGTTCATACCGGGGAGAAGCCTTATAAATGTAGAGAATGTGGCAAAGGATACAGTACTGCAAAATCTCTTAATTACCATCAGAGATTTCATACCGGGGAGAAATCTTATAACTGTAATGAATGTGGCAAAGTGTTTAGGCATTCCTCAAACTTGTCTAAGCATCAGGGATTTCATACTGGAGAGAAGCCTTATAAATGTAATGAATGTGGCAAAGCCTATGTCTATTCCTCATCCCTTCATCGTCATCATAGTGTTCATAGTGGAGAGAAACCTTATGTGTGTAAGGAATGCGGCAAAGCCTTCAGTGAGTCCTCTAAGTTTACACGCCATCGAAGAGTTCATACTGGTGAGAAGCCTTATATGTGTAATGAATGCGGCAAAGCCTTCAGTGAGTCCTCTAAATTTACACGCCATCGAAGAGTTCATACTGGTGAGAAGCCTTACAAATGCCAACAATGTGGCAAAGCCTTTAGCCAGTCCTCACACCTTACTAATCATCAGAGAGTTCATGCTAGAGAGTAACCTTACAAACGTAGATAATGTAGCAAAGTCTTCAGTGCATTATCAACCCTAGGTTATCATCAGAGGTCATACTGCAGAAAAGTCCTATGAATCAAGATTGTGGCAAAGGCATTTCTTAGGCCTTCCGGACCATCAAATAACCCATACTGGAGAGAATCTTCGTGAATGTGGAGCCTGTGGCCACGCCTTTTGCCAGTCCTCATGCTTTACTAAGCATCAGAGAATTTACGCTAGAGAGAAGCCTTATAAATGTAGAGAATGTGGCAAAGTCTATAGGCATTCCTCAGCCCTTATTTACCATCAAAGAGTTCATACTGGAGAGAAGCCTTATTTGTGTGGAAAATGTTGCAAGTCCTTTGGCAACACCTCAAACCTCTCAGCACATCAGAGAGTCCATAGTGGAGAGAAGTATTAAAGATGTGAGGAGTGTCATAAATCCTTTACCAGCAGGTAGTACTTACTGAGCTTACAGAATTCTAAATGGGAAGAAGCCTTCTGAATGTGAAAAATGTAGAAAACCCATTAAAAAGCACACTTTTATTACTGTACATGAGACACTTCATACTGAAGAAAGAACTTATAAATGTAGAGTTTTCAAGCCTGTACCTACATCTCAAAATGTAGTGAATAACAGAGATGTGTATAATGGAGGAAATCTTTACACTGCAGAAAATGTGAGAAATTACTGGCTGGCATTCCTGTGTGGTTTACCTTTGATGTATGAACCACAATGTCAGTGCAGTTCCTTGACTGGCATAAGCCCTGGTTGGAGACTCAATCTTCATTGTGGGGTATGCAGGAGCTAGCTGATCCATGATTTCCTCTGATCATTGAAATTTCTTTTTTTTTTTTAATTAAATCTTTATTGTTCAGATTATTACATTTGTTCCTCTTTTTCCCCCCCATAACTCCCCTCCTCCCAGTTCCCGCCCCACCCTGCACCCTCACTCCCCACCCACTGTCCTCATCCATAGGTGCACGATTTTTGTCCAGTCTCTTCCCGCATCTCCCACACCTCTTTCCCCCCCAAGAATAGCCAGTCCATTCCCTTTCTATGTCCCTGATTCTATTATGATCACCAGATTATTTGTTCACTTGATTCTTAGATTCACTTGTTGATAGATGCATGTTTGTTGTTCATAATTTGTATCTTTACCTTTTTCTTCTTCTTCCTCTTCTTAAGGGATACCTTTCAGCATTTCATATAATACTGGTTTGGTGGTGATGAACTCCTTTAGCTTTTCCTTATCTGTGAAGCTCTTTATCTGACCTTCAGTTCTGAATGATAGCTTTGCTGGATAAAGTAATCTTGGTTCCAATAAAAGCTGACCTCTGTTAAAAAAAAAAAAAAAAAAAAAAAAAACGGCCAATAAAAGCTGACCTCTGTTAAAAAAAAAAAAAAAAAAAAAACGGCCAATAAAAGCTGACCTCTGTTAAAAAAAAAACAAAAAAAAACGGCCAATAAAAGCTGACCTCTGTTAAAAAGAAAAAAAAAAAAAAAAAAAAAGTAATCTTGGTTGTAGGTTCTTGGTATTCATCACTTTGAATATTTATTGCCATTCCCTTCTGGCCTGCAAAGTTTCTGTTGAGAAATCAGCTGACAGTCGTATGGGTATTCCCTTGTAGGTAACTGAGTTTCTCTTGCTGCTTTTAAGATTCTCTCTTTGTCTTTTGCTCTTGGAATTTTAATTATGATGTGTCTTGGTGTGGTCCTCTTTGGATTCCTTTTGTTTGGGGCTCTCTGTGCTTCTTGGACCTGTAAGTCTATTTCTTTCACCAGGTGGGGAAGTTTTCTGTCATTATTTCTTCAAATAGGTTTTCAGTATCTTGCTCTCTCTCTTCTTCTGGCACCCCTATAATTCTGATGTTGGTACGCTTGAAGCTGTCCCAGAGGCTCCTTACACTATCTTCGTATTTTCGGATTCTTTTTTCATTTTGCTTTTCTGGTTGGGTGTTTTTTGCTTCTTCGCATTTCAAATCTTTGCCTTGATTCTTGCGCTCCTCTGGTCTGCTATTGGGATTCTGTATAATATTCTTTATTTCAGTCAGTGTATGCTCAATTTCTAGTTGGTTCTTTATCACAATATCGAGGGTCTCATTAGATTTCTTGAGGATCACACTACAGTTGTCAGCATTCTCCCCAGTCTTTTTGAGGGCCTTACTAAGTTTATCGGCAGCTTCTAAACAGTTCTTGAGAGACCTTAAAAATGTGGTTTTGAGCTCTATATCTTCCATTTCTGACATTTGCGTCCTGTTTCTTTGTCTCCGCATTTTTTTTATCTTTTCTTGGTGCACCCCCTAGTGGTCTTTGTGCGCAGTCTTGTTGTAGTTAAGCCTTGATTGTTACCAGGGGTGATTTGACCTCCAGGCTAACTGGCTATGAGAGTTAGCTGTGTCTGCAGTGGGAGAGCTTCGGTGCTGGATCTCTAGGGCGGTGCTAATCTAGCATTTGCCTGAGGCTATCCGGCAAATGGCTCTGTGCAGGGCTTGGGCGGGGCGGGTTCCCGGGGATCTACAGGGCGGGCCGGAGCAAGCAGTTATGGCGGCTCTCAGTTCCGTCCCTAGGGGCTCTGCCTCACAGTGTCCCAGCAACCGCTGCAAACCTCAGAGAGAAAGCTGCCTTCGAGTTCTGACCGAAGCCAGACAGTCCCGCTTATCCCGTTTGAGTCTGGGTCCCTAAAGACTCACCCGGATCTGGAGCTCAGAGTCTGAAACTCCCTCCCTATTGAAAACAACAACCGTGCCCTCTGCCGCCAGCCCTCTCCAAGCACACTCCGCACCTGAGTATTTCACTTCAGCACTGCGCCTCCTCTGAGTCTGGGTATGATATTCTCTTTCCTCCTAGTTGTAGAATTTCCACTCATCCAGCCTTCCTGAGGTTCTGGA